AGAAGAGACTTGATAAGGGCCCGAACTGATGTCAGTAGCCTCACAGAGCTGCTTTTGTCTCACTGGCTTCCACTGATCTGCTCCCTACCACATTTCCTGCTGTATGGTGGGGGGACCCCCCTGAAGCACACTGATGTGAAAAGTGAAACTCAGAACATTCAAAAACAAAATATAAAATGGTCCAGAAATAAAATAAGATTGGGGCGGGGGGAATAAAATCCACAGAACTTTCTGAGGAGCAACGAGTTCAAGCATGCCCTGCAGAAATGCTTAATGGTGGAATGAGTTTTGGTCATAAATATGCATAGATGGTTTCTGGAGAGAAGGACCAAGGTCTAGGGAGGAAGGAAATGTATCTTTTATTGTATACCATTTTATAGCGCTTGATTTTTTTCTAAACCGTGTGCCTATATAATTTTTTCAATAAAAAAAGAATTTTTAGAAAGTGGCCTGCCACCAGTGGAAGGCTGAGATCACAGTCACTATTTGCATTGGCTCATCTCCAGACCTTCCTGGAACAGAGGGCAGGGAGCTGGACCCATCGTTCCTGCTAGGAGAGAACAGCTCAGTGCATGACACGCTAGGGGTGGGTCCCACATCCTGCAGACTACAAGTGCCTCCAAAGTAGGCAGCTGATGATCCTGAAGACGCAACGTCACGTTCAAAAGCAGTCAGCTGTAGTAAAATTGGATGAGTAATTTGCTTCTGGAAAATGGAGCACACAGCACAGATTAATGCTGCTTACTTGGGAAACTGGGAACTCTGGGATGAGGTTAAAGGTCATGACCCTGTCCTGGGGAGAACAGAGGCTGTGAATCCAGCCGAGCCTATCATTCGCAGGTCAGGTTGGATCCTGACTAAAGCTCCAGGGTGAGGTGAGAACCATGCGACCCATGGGGATCACAGAACAGAGTTAGAGGAAGGACAGTAAAGATAGTAGGGCCAGACCCACACAGAAGTGTGGAGCCCCCAGCAAGAGAGAAATGAGGGGCAGCATCCCACATTCTCAGTAGAGAATGTTCTTATTCTGAGAAAGCTAGATGTCAAATAAGGCAGGTGATAAGAATGGTGGCAAATGGAGCAATGGGAGTTAAAATGAGCCCTGAGTGACCCTAACCGGTTTGGCTCAGCGGTGAGAGCATTGGCCTGCGGACCAGAGAGTCCCGGGTTCGGTTCCGCTAAGGGCACGTTCCTCAATTGCAGTTTGTCCCCAGCCCTGGTTGGGGTCTCTCTCATGTTGATGTTTCACTCTCTCTCTTCCTTCCTCTCTCCCTCCCATTCTGAGGATAGATGCAAAAATGTCATCCAGTAAGGATTTAAAAAAAAAAAAAAATGAGCACTGAGTGTTGGTAAAGGGGCTAAAATAGATGATCAAGGTAAATGCTATAGAAAGTCTTCCTTTAGGAATTTAACCCTTAGAAGGTCTCTAGTGTGCAAAAGGGGGATTTGGGGCTTGCAGTTTACTTAGATACTTGGTGTGAGGGGAGACAGGTGCCATGCCAAGAGACAGTGGACACCTCCTTTTCTACTCCTTTGGGAATGTCCATCTTTCATCATTCCCCCGATCTAGTGTAGCTGGGCAACATCTTCTCCATGTTCCACTGGCCTTGTCTCTCCAGACTCCATCTGGAAAACCTCTGGCCACCTGCTGAATAGCTCAATCCTGCCATGGGGTCCCAGGTTAGAAAACAAGATTACTTCTTCATCCAACTGTTAATTCCCAAGTGACTTCCCCTGCCTGTCCCAGTTCATGTCAGAACTGTCTTCTTGCTTACATCTACTCACCCACACCCCATGCTCCCAGGTCTTATGGACTTAGAAATACAAACTTATTTAAATATCAAAACAAAAGAAAAACAAAATTATTAGTCCAAGATTCTACTACAGAACATTTCCAAATTATCATCTATTTGGAGTTGACTATGCTACTCCTCTATTACTGAGATAAGGAACCAGAGATGACATCACAGAATCTTAGAGCGGAACAGGACCAGTGAGCAGCCCTGGAGGGGTGGATGATTCAGAGCATGAGTTTAGGAATTGAATTGACCTGGATTCTAATTCCAGCCCTGCCAGTACATGTTCACTGTTTCTAAAAATTGAGTATGCGCCAGAATCATCTGGAGTTTTCAAAAAACACAAATCTCACCTGGCCAGTGTGGCTCAGTGGATTGAGCTGGTCCCATGGACTGCGAGGTCCCAGTTCAATTCCCCTCAGAGTACATGCCCAAGTTGCCGGCTTGATCTCCAGTAGGGCACATTCAGGAAGCAGCTGATCTTTGTTTCTCTCTCACGTCGATGTTTCTATATCTCTCTCCCTTCCTCTCTCTTTAATTCAATAAAAACACAAATCTCTGGGCCCCACCCTCAGAAATTCGGATTATTTAGGTCTGGGTGGAACCCAAAAATCTACATTTCTAACAAATTATCAGGTGCTACTACTGATGCCGCTGGTCCGGGAACCACACTTTGAGCATCACTGTAGTTGTGTGATCAGCCGCCTCCAGAGTGTGTGTGTGTGTGTGTGTGTGTATTTTATCCTCACCCGAGGACATTTTTCGATATTTTGTCCCGAGTATATTTTGGACAATAATTGCAGATATTTGCCAGGTCTGGGGTTTACCTACGACCTGGCATATGGAGCCCTTAGCATTGCTCGTGGCACACAGTTAATAGCTGCTCTGCTGTTGGATGAGGGGAGGAATCATTTGCCCAAGACCACCCCACCAATGAAAAGCAAACCTGGGACCGAGCCCCGGGCTCCTAACTGCCTGGCCGCGTTTTAAGTCTCCGGCGCCGCCGTCTCCGGCTCTGAAGGCTCCGGAGTCGCCGCCATCCAGTGTGCGGTTCCCTGCGCCACCGTCAGCACCGCTGCCGCCGGTCGTCTTTGGGATGGCTGGCACCCTCCGATCGTTTCTCCGCGCCGGGAGCCTGGCCGCGGAGACTGCCCCTGGGACGGGCTGAGATCTGGAGAAGCTGTTCTCCTGGCAGCGACCAGCAGGCGGAGGGGAGATGCATGGGTGGGGGTGGGGGAGCCCCCACCCGCCCCGGCCTCCGGGCCGCCCTGGGAGCTGCCGGGCCGGGCGTGGCGCGGCCAGCAGCGGGGCTGCAGGGCACCGCGGGGGGCCGCCGGCACCTGGCCTGGGAGGGGCACGGAGGACGCGCCCGGCCTCGCAGGCCCGGCCCCGGCCCCGCCCTCCAGGACGTCCCGTCGGAAAACCCGTGAGCTGCTCAGCGGCGCGGCTGCGGCTCTGCCTCGGCGCGACAGGTAAGCGGCAGAAGCAGCCCGCGGTCCTCACTGGCCCCTGCGACTCTCCCCTACCTCTGCGACCCTCCCCCTGGCTTGGAACCAGAGCTGTCCTCCTCGGGACTTCCCTCCAGTCTCCCGCTTCTGCCAAGTCCTTGCTCTCTGCCGACCTTCTCCCCCTCTTCCTCCTCGCCATCCCCCACAGTAAAATGAAGAGGTGGGCCAGGCTGGCCCCAATCTGTCCTGGTGGACTCTAGCTCCTCCCTCCGTAGGAACCCCTCCACCTTTGCGCCTTACTGAAAGGGTGGATGAAAGAAAGGCTCAGACCTCTGTGGCTCGTAGGGGTGGGTTGGGGGAGGGACAAGCCATAACACTTCCTTCGGGGCTCTACACTCTTTCCTTCGCCCACTCGTGCAGCCGCCTCTTCCCCTGTGTGCCCAGTCTCTCCGTTTGGGCCACCCCATGTGCCCCGCTACAGAAAATCTTTCAGAAAGGTTCCCTCCCGCTAGTGTCAGGATGCTCCTTAGCAGAAGGGGCAAGCCAAAACATGCCTCCTAGTGGGGTCCATCTCGGATGCCCTCCCTCGGGAGGCTTGAGCCTTTTGCAGATGGGAGCTGTGTGGTGTTATGGGAGTCTGATGCGTGTTCATGACTGTGACTGTCACCAACTTCCCATTTCCCTGTCATTTGTTCCAAACCCCAGGCTAACCAAAAGGAGAAACAGTTTGCTACTTGCCCCCAGAACCAGTTGTCCCAGAACCTCCACAGAGGGTAGGACAGAGCTCTCCTGTGCGGGGGTGAGAGTGGGGGATGGAGTGGGTTCTGTTTGCCATTAAAGCTCAGAACAGACCCCTTCTATTGGCCAACAACCCATAGCAACAATCCCAGGGAGGTTTTTGATGCTGTGCTCTCAACACACCCTCAGACCCACTGAGCTTGGTTAACAACTCTGGACACACCAAGGAACCTAGGGCTTGTGTTCATTTTACCAGAGATGTGTGTACACTACTCAGGCCCTATTCTCCTTACAGACAGATCTGCTGTGTCCCTACCCATCACAAGAAAGGTAAAAAGAATGAAAAAGGAAATTCATGTGATGAATATTACGCTCTAAGATGAGGGTACTACTGCTTCCAATTATCCCGCAGAAGTCAGTACCATTGCATGTACTTCCCTAGCTCCTGTTCCTCAGAAATGCCATGCACTTTAAGTATCCAGAGGCAACACTTTCAAGGGCACCAGGACAGAAAACAGGGCAGAACTGTCAAACGGAAAAGGTAGTCTGGATACTGGACTGCTCAAGATGGCCTCATCCTTGGTAATCACTGCCCACAGTTGAAAGGACAGCTGACTCCCACCCATAGCAATATAGAAGAACTCAGGTATGAAAGGGGAGGCCCTGATACATGTCAGATGCCCTCTGAGATCAGAAACATCTTAGTCCAAGTTCAGGAGAAATCTGGACAGGAAATATGACCATGGGCTTGGTCCATGTAGCCAGTGCCTAGAACAGAAGTTGGGAATAGGAAGGGTAGTTAACCCTAGTGCTGAGGGCCTCTCAGTTTGAGAAAGCAGTGGGTATAATGGAGGCAGGCAACCGACAGCCCCGTCGCTGTCTAATCTTGGCCAAAACACACAAACACTCCCTGGGTGGGGAGCAAATGAGAAGGTGTATATGAAAGAGCTTTAGCAAAGCTCCAAGCACCAGCCAAATGCAAGGCAGTGTGGTGTCATGGTTTAGGCAGTGAGTGGGCTTTGGGGAAACATGGGCCTGCCTTTGCTACTTCTTAGCTATGTGACTTTGATCAAGTTACTTCACCTACCTGTGCTTCTGTTTCCTTCTGTGTAAAATGTGGAAGATAACTGTTACTTGACTTGATATGGTATGTACTAATTGAAAAAGTGGTGGTATTGTCTTAAACCTCCTCTGGCTCTCACAGACATATTCCTACATCTCCAGCTCTGGAAGTGAAGCTGAAGACCAGAGTAGGTGTCTGTGCACAAGAGGGACCCAGTGAATGGCTGGGCCAAAGACTTGGGTGAACCCAGCTCTTCATACAGCCCTCTGCTCCTCTCTGGGAAAGCCCAAAATGTCTGTTCTCATTTGATGGGAATGAGAGTAAGGTTTTGAATAAAAGAAAGGTCAAGTGCAGGGCAGTGACTGTCTCGATGTCAAGCTCAATGCTGTAATTGTGCTATGTAAAAGGCTTGTACCGTGAACAAGGATAGCTTCAGTCTGGGGATTAAAAGGACTGTTAGAAGACTCTTTTGTGGCACGTAGGAGCCCTGTGGGGTCAGGTGGTTCTCCTATACCCTGTGCAACCTGGTCCTGAGCCCTACATAGAGATTTGAAGGAAGGAAGAAACCAAATCACTCTCAGCTCTACATCTGACACATAACAGAGAACAAAGGACAGACAAATGTGATAACCAGTGATGGTGAGGAGTAAACAGGAAGCACATTGTCTAGGCCATGTAGAAACTTGCAGTCAAATGGTGCTAAAGAAATGAATATGGCTATTCTGATTGTGAAAGGGAGAGGGAGGCCTGAGGCGAAGGAGGCGGCAGGCAGCTTCTGCTTATCCTCCAGATGTTGGGTGATAAAGGCACATTCTCAGAGGAAGGTTTTGAGTAGAGAGGAAGAGGAGGATCCAGGAGGCAGGGAATGAATCAGCAGAATTTGGCAGTAGGTATGGGGTGAACCTGAAATTGAGAAGGGATTTAAAACTACACACCTGGGAGTGGGGCAGGGGCAGAGGTCGTTTCTAGGATCTCAATGCTACAGGCTGCAATGGGGAAATTGGGAACACTGGCTAGGTTAAGGGATAGGGCACAGACCCTGAGTTCAGGATGTGGCATGTTGAATATGTGGTGGCCCTAAGTAGAAGGCCTACAGCCAGGAGCAGACTGTGGGATGAGAAGAGATGGAAATATTTCAGTTCTGCCCTCTCCCATCACCCCTACCCCAGTCTGGAGACCAGTCCAAGCTTCAGGAACACCTCTCCTCTTAAACCCCTCTCATCACCACCACTCTCCCCCACCCCCAAATGACATGATAAGACCCAATTCAAGTTCCTGTTTTTGCCTTCCCTCAAACCCAGCCTGTCACCAAGGTTTAGGAAGTCCCACCTCATGCCCACCTAAGGTTTCTCCTTCATCCCTGCTTTCCTAGGGACCAGCAGTCTCAACACTTAGTTTGAGTACAGTTGCTTGCCCCTGCCCCACCTGTCAGGGCCTGGGAGTAAAGCCAGTGAAAACCCGTGAGCTAGCTGTTGAACTTCCTCTTTGGTTACGTATATTTTTATTTTCGGGGACTTTTAAAAATTTGTAATAAAATCAACAGATATTTGCTGAGTGCCTGCTATATATATGCCAAGCACTGTTCTGGGTATATAGTGTGAGCAAAGTTGGATAGTTTATTTCAATTGAAAATCTATGTTTGGGTAATTTAAGCTTAAAATGCAAACATAAAAGGAACCTAGATATGCTGGGGAAAGAACTTGATAGACTAGCTACAGAAATAATTTTCAGTGTGTCTTTCTGGGAAAATAAGCCACCATAACTGAAATGTCTTAAAGGTGTAATTATAGAGAAAAGTGAAAACCTCCCAGCATTCTGTAATCAGAAGGGTCAGAGTTGGGAGGAGGGGTTTGAAGGAGATCATTTGCTACTTTGTTAAAGCATGAGAACAGAGGAAGTGAAATGAGTGCTGTGTTTGATGGTAAGGAAGAAAGCAGCCTCTTGGCCCCTTCCCCTCACTAGTAGCTTGAAAGCGACCTGGCCTCTTCCCCTCACTAGCAGCTTGAAAGCGACCTGTCCCCTCCCCAACATGATGTCCATCTCCACACACCTGCACCCTGGGTGAGAGTGGCGACAGTCATCTCTTTTCTAAGAAACCTATAATTGAGCCTTAGTCTGACTAACTTGAACAAACATCCCTGGGGTGGTGTCTTACTTCCTGGCTGCCACGTCCTCCGTACTCCGGAGGTGAACAGCTCAGCTGATAAACAGAAAAAAAAACTTTGTTACAAAGAAGCCACCTGGCCAGCAAGGGTGTGTTCTGTGTGGTTTACCCTGGCTTTCATAAAAGCTGAAACTTTGCTTGGGTCTTCCAGTTTGGGCATCTTTAAAGCATTTGTACCCCTGAGTGGGAGTTGGGGTGGGAAGGTGGTCTGAGAGTGAAGTTAGGACACTCAGGAAAACAGCCCTGCCCCAGGCTCAGGAGAGCAACACCCAGTCTCCAAACTCTGCAGGGGACCTCCAAGCAGTAGGTAAGATACAGGAACAGAGCAGTGGCCTGGGAGTTAGGAGACTGCCATCTGTTCCTGGGAGCCACATGCTGTGTGACAATAGAGAAGTCAGCTAACCACTCTGGCCTCACCTGTAAAACGAGGGTGCTGGACTCACAGACAGACCTAGTCAAAGTGGCACACTAATGCTTAACAACAGAATACCATGTAACCCAATGTTTGTTGGAATAAGTGCATTCAAAACTGTCTTCATCTGATTTAACAAGAGTTTATGGAGTACTTCCTATATACTAAACTTATGCTAGACTTTGCAAGTGATAAAGAAGTGAAAACAACTTGGCCTCTCTGGTCTAGGAGTTCACAGAGGTGTGAGAGAGAACAGGCCCCTCCCACACGGGGAAGGCTGTGACTGGTCCAGGGTAGAAGTATAAACAGTCTGCTAAGGGGCTTATTGGAGGAGGCTAGGAAGTAAAATGGAGGGATTGGAATGTGTCATTAGCTTTTAGATTTTTATGACTGGACCAAAGTAAGAAAGACATTTTACAACAAAATTTCATACTCACTTAACATGTGACAGGGTATCTCAAAAGTCTTAGGGCAGTTTTACACTTAAATCACATCAGAAGTATGAATTTTACAAACTAACAACAACAAAAAAACCCCACACAATTTGAAAATGTAGTAATATCCCTTTTTTTTACCTTTATGAATTTTGAATAACAAATTTTCTATTTAAGTTTGTATCAGGAAGTGTTTATCATCAGTGGATTGTGACAAATACTAAAATAAGAATGCATTCAGAATTTATAATACTCAAAAAGATAAAAGAAATTTAAATCAAACTTTCAAATGATGTTCTTTGAAAGTCTGTAGTGTTTCTGTTTCTGAAGTTATTAAAGCTTAAAACTGCACTATGTATAATAACAAATGAAATTTTAACAAAACAATGCCTACATTACATGTGACATACTTTGGTATTTTCTTTTTTGTCCTGTTCCAGTTCTGATCTTTTTAAAAGTTTTTTCATGCTGATTTGCAACAATTTTGATTTATTTCATAATCCTATAGTGGTTTACAATCAGCGATTTGATAGACACTGAGCTGGGTGAAGGCTCAGTTCCCTTAGACCAGTGGGAGAAGGTGAATTTTTGTTTTGGCATCATCTCATTACTGAAACCAAGATGGTCCGATGTGTTGAAAATCTCAAGAGTGGCTGGAGGAAAACGGATTGGGAATGAATGCTCAGCATCAACAGAAAGGGAATGAGTGGATGACGGCTGTGGGCACACTGGCCACTATACTTCGTTTGGTGGCCATACAGTGGGAACCAAAGGTGAAGAAGGATCCTGTGAAGCCCTTGCACTTGACAAAGTACCACATACAAGAGGGGCTATTCCTTCAGCAAGGCTGGTGGAGCGGTGATCTCCCTGACCTTGCTAACCACACTCCAGAGAGCAGGAATCCTTAATCCCAGTCTTCTGCCTTGCTCCTTCCATCAGATAATGTGTCTCTTCTAAGGACTCTTCCTATCGCCTGCATGCTGAGCAAACAAACTAGACTGAGTCCCTTACTGCCAAGGCTAATCACGGGTGTCTCCTTTCATTTCAGGATGTGGTTAGTATCTTGAGGAATTGCAGGCTCCATAGAGAAAGTCTTAGACTGCCAGGTTGCATTGAGAGAACACATGCCTGATAAGGGCTCAATTTAACCCTAGGTCTCTTTCTCTAGGGGAAATAAAGGATTAAAGGCCTACCCCACAACGCAATGCCAGGAAGAAGGAGTTGAAGTGACCTGGGTGATTCTGAGCAACTCGGTCGGGGAGGCCTTCCTGGAGGAGGTGAGTCTTGAGCACTTCGCAGCAGCTGGTAACTAACCTATTACTACACCTTTGTTTCTAATTGTGCTCCCTCTTTTCTTGCTCTTGTGGCAAGGTAACAGAAAATACCAGGGAAGTGCAGCCTGCAGGACAGTTCAACACTGTCGTGGCAAACACTTCCCCATTTTGTGGGGCTCTGTTTGTGCTTAGCTGAGGGGGTTTCAGGAGTTAGGAGATGTCTAGCTCAAGCAGAACTCCTTGGGCTGGCCCAGCATAGCTCAGCCTCTGGTGAAGGAAACTGCCACTACCCCGAGTTCCCATTTCTTCCTTGAAGCCTTTTTCAAGCTCATGGAGAACTCTACCTTTTCAACTTGACACTTACTGTCTCTGCTAATGTTTTAATTTTGTAAATTTTTGACTAGGTAATATAATCAGGTTCAAAGTACAAAAGGGTATTTAGTGAAAGATCTTTTTTCTGCTCCTGTCCCCTCCCTGGACAGGTGCTACATGGACTCAGTGGTACTAGTTCATGTTCTCCAGCTAGATTCTAAAATCCCATGGGAAAGCAATTGTCTCATACCTCTGTGCCCCAGCTAGAGTGAACTGTTTCACCTTTCACCTACGGGAGGTTTTCTAGCACCATATTCTCCCTCCTCCATCAGCAATGCTGCTATCTTGGGTGAGACGCCCAAGCCCCTCTTAACTGGCCATCCAGCTGCCAGTCAGGTCTGTCTCCTAGATACCCTCCACCAGCTATCATATTGTTCTTCCTGTCATGCTGGGCTCCCCACTGATCCTGTATTGCTCCTCATACCTCAGGTCAACAGGCAAACTCCTTGTCATGATGATTTGGTGGTAGCTGCCTCTCTAGACCCATCCTCTGCTACTTTGATCAGACTTCATATTCCCACCACCCAGTCTACTTGCTGTTCTTTGACTGGCTATGCTGTCTGCTGCCTCTAGGCCTGTGTGTGCTCACTTCTCCTGGCCAACTCCAACTTGTGGGTTAGTGCTCAGCCCAAACTCCTGCCCCTCAGGACCTCTTCACAAATATCACCCTCCCCCGCTTGCTGAGTTCCCTGTATCCTGTCTCCCTCAGCACCCAAGAGTGCCTCTCTTATGCCATCTTCTCACTGATGGATCTCTGTTTAAAATCTGACTGCCCCAGTTGACTGCACGCTCCTTGAAGATTGGGCTCGCTCATCTCTTCCCCATCTAGCAGAGTACCTGGCATACAGCAGATACTCCATCAGTACTGGCAAAATGAACACATCTCTTCCATCTCCAAGACGACATCTAATACAAAATAGACACTCAAAAAGATTTCCTTTTATTTGACTTTTGATGCTTCTGCTGAGTCTGATGCTATAAAAGAAAACCACCTGTCTCTCCCAGCCCAAAGTGTCCCATGCACCCCCTTGAGATCATATTCCCCAGATCCAAGTGACCCTGAATACCAGGCTTCTCCACAGGCAGGAACTTGTGTGTTTAGGTAAACTCCTTGTAACGGCATTAAATAGCTCAACTGAAGTTACTCTTAAGCAAGGCATGCCACGGGGTAATGAGTGTGGCTTTGGCCGAGGACCAGGTGCTTGAGGAAAAATCCTGGAAAGCTGAGCAGAAATTTATTAATTATAATAGTAGAAATAATTGATACCGTTTATTGAGGGCTTAGTATGTGCTCACACTCTGCCGAGGATTTTACCTACATTATCTCTGATTTAATCATCACCACAACCCTGTGAGTTAAGTATTAGTTACCCCCACTTTATGAGGAAATTGAGGCTTAGAGAGATTAAGTAATTAGTCCAAGGGTACCACAGCCACTAATGATAAATACATACTTTTTCAGATTTTACTGTGTGCAGAGACTACTAAGCTTTTTCCATAGTTATTTATTGAACTTATTAATCCTTCTAACAACCCTAGGAGGTAGGTGCTATTATTACTAGAAGGGGCAGAACTTGGCTCTGTGCCCAGGTCTATTGCTGTGAACATCTGGTGCCTAACAAGGGAGCCTTATGTTTCCAGATCTCTCCACAGAATGCTGTTTTGTTTTGTTTTGTTTCGTTTTGTTTTGTTTTGTTTTGTTCATCCTCATCTGAGGATTTTTCCATTGATTTTTAGAGAGTGGAAGGGGCGGGGGTGGGGGGAGAGAAAGAAACACCGATGTGAGAAAGACATCGACTTGTTGCCTCCTGCACACACCTCAGCAGAGGCCAGGGATCCAACCTGCAACCCAGGTATGTGCCCTTGACTGAGAATCGAACCCATGACCCTTCGGTGTGTGAGCCAACACTCTAACCACTGAGCAACACCACCCAGGGCTCCACAGAAAGTTTTGCAAACATCCGTCCTCTGAGCTGTGGGATCATGTATGTGTGTGGGGCTGTAAGCTAATGTCCACCAAAGCTCAGTCCTGCCTAGAGGTGTTGTCATAAGATCTTAAATATTTTTAATTAAATATGAGTAGATACAGAAGAATGTTTATAAAATATGTTTAGGATATAAAGAATAACAACAGTAATGGCCACCGTCTATTTGAAGAAAAAACACTTCATTTTGAAGTCCCCATGTGCCTCTATCCCCATATCTTTTCTCCTTCAGAAACTTTGGTTTCATCACTCCTTTAGTTTTCTTTATAACTTTACCGAATATTCATTTTGTATTCATGAACAATATATTGTGTTTCACAATTTTCCTTTTTTTTTTTTTATCCTCACCCAAGGACATTTTTCCATTTTTTTGTTCAGACAGAGTGGGAGGGAGAGAGAGGAAGAGAGAGAGAGAGAGAAACGTTGACGTGAAAGGGACACATCGAGTGGCTGCCACTCACACAACCAACCAGGGCCGGGAACAAACTGCAACCGAGGCATGCGCCCTTAGCAGGAACTGAACCCAAGTCTTTCTGGACCGCAGGCTGACGCCCCAACTGCTGAGCCAAACTGGCCAGGGCCACAGTTTTCTATAAATACAACTATACTGTACATATTTCTTTGCAGCTCATTTTCTCTCGACGTCACATCTGTGCTGTTGCGTGTAGAAGTGGTTCATACTTGGTCACTACTGTAGAATGCTCCGTGATGTGGATATAGTCCATACTCTTATTTACTCATTCTACTGCTGATGGGCATTTGGATGGTTGCTATTTTTGCCATTTTAGTTAGCGCTACTAAAAACATTCTGGTACGTGCCTCCTGACTCATGTGCACAGGAGTTTGTCTGGAATATAAAACTAGAAGTGGAATTGTAGCATCATAGGGTGTGTACATTTTAAATTTTACTTGATAATGCCAAATTGTCTCCCAAAGTGGTTATTTCTGTTAAATCTCTGCATTTAGAGTTATAGTGTTCTGGTTATTCTAGATCCACTAATGTCAGAATCTTGGGGCAGGAGAGAAACTCTGATTCTGGTCTCCTCATTTTATGGATGGAAGAAATTTAGAAGCAGGAAAGTTAAGTGATTAAATAGGATGATGTCACCATTCAGCAACAGAGCCTGGTCTTGAGCCCCAAACCCCCTGACTCCTTCTCCACCCCTGCCTTGGCTTATTTCTCCCCTTCATCCCCTCCCTTCTCAGGCTGAGGCCCCAAGGTGTGGCCACCCGACATATCAAGCTATTTCCAGGGTCAGGCCCAGCACTCAAGCTGACTCAGCTGGGATACCCACTGGTTCCAGAGGATGAGGCTCCTCCGCAGACACTATATGCCCCTGCGCCTGGCCATGGTGGGCAGCGCCTTTGTGCTCTTCCTCTTCATCCTGCAGAGGGATGTGAGCAGCAGGGAACAGGCCACAGAGAAACCATGGCTGAAGTCCTTGGTGAGCCAGAAGGATCACGTCCTGGACCTCATGGTGGGGGCCATGAACAACCTCAAGGATTCGATGCCCAAGCTCCAGATCAGGGCTCCAGAGCCCCAGGAGACACTGATCTCCACAAACAAGTCCTGCCTCCCTGGGTTCTATACCCCAGGTGAGCTGAAGCCCTTCTGGGAACGGCCACCACAGGATCCCAACGGCCCTGGGGCAGATGGGAAAGCATTTCAGAAGAATGAGTGGACTCCCCTGGAGACCGAGGAAAAGGAAAAGGGCTATAAGAAACACTGCTTCAATGCCTTTGCCAGTGACCGGATCTCCCTACAGAGGGCCCTGGGGCCAGACACTCGACCCCCTGAGTAAGTAGTGCCCAGAGTCATAGGGTGAGGCCAGGACTCTGCCAAAGTCGTGGCTGGTATTGTCATGGCCTAGGTTCAAGTGCCTGCCCGGTAAAGAGCTGATGGGGATTTTAATTCTTTTCTTCTTTGTTGATTTGAGAGAGAAGAAGGGAGAGGGAGAGAGAGAGAGAAACATCAATGAGAGAGAACAGCTGATGGGGATTTTAGAATATGGACAAGGATTTCTTCTGTACCCTTACTCCTTTTCTGACCCATTGCCCTTATGCCAGGGGTTGGAGTTCAGGAGTATTCTGGACAGGCAAGAGGCTTAGGGAGGCCTGTGAGTGTGAAACACAATTATGAAGGTGACAGGATACAGGAAAAGAACTCAGGGCCTGGGGCCAGGACCTGGCATAGGGGTGACCGAGAGGGACCGATTCCAGGCCACTGATTCGGGGCCTTGCCCTCTGCTGAGGCCTCCATGGAAACTATGGGTCGCTGCTGCTGAGCTGCTGAGAAAGGGATGTTTCCTGACCGCGGCCCTAGGAGTCCAGGACTATCCCCACACCTCCTGATTTCCTTCCTGCAGTGAGGGTGCACAGGACCGTGAATTCATTCCAACCTTTATTTGAAGCTGTTTATACTTTTATTTGTGGCAGTGAACCAGCACTTAGATCTTTGAGCTGTAAGCCACCTTACTTTAATGTGGTTGTAGTTGTGTTCACACTGTTCTCAAGTCAAAGATTTGTGTCTTTCTTATTTAGACTTGTCTTTCCCAACTCAAAAGTTACACCCTTTTGGCTTTCTATCACGTGGCAGCTGCTGTCTCCAAATTCATGATTTGTGAACCTTTAAGATTGTGAACCTGGGGTTCCTCAGAATTGACCAAGTATTATAGTCGTAGAAGTTGGAGTCACTTGGAAGTGTCATGAGCTTCTCAGCAGGGAAGGGTATTGGGCCATAAGGGCAGCCAGAGGAGGAAGTTTGGGTGTCTCCTCTGGAGGCTCCATGAGAAAATAGGCTACATGGTTCCTTGAGATCCAGGATCCACACATTCCCACCCCCACCTTAGCATGACCGAGTGCCACAGAGTGATTAGAGTGGAGGAGGATAGAGATAAGGTCACAGGAAATTGATTGTGACAGTAGTGTCAAATTACAGGGAATTAATGAGGAAATGGATTAGAGAAGAACTGTAAAGCGTAACAAGAAGAGTATGAAAATTGTAGTCACTTTTTTCAGATGTCAAATTTGCCCTTTATTACTTCCCCTCTGGGACCTCTGGATTAGATTACACTTTATGCAGCACACATATCACTGAGGAAGAGAGTCAGCCCTGGGAACTCTAGAGCAGATGAGAGAAGTGAGAAGGGGAGCAGGGAGGAACCCTCAGTCACAGCTGGGGCACCAAGCCAGCTCCGGGGAAAATGAGTTGGGAGTAAGTTGGCTAGGACCTGTGTAGAGGCTCAGAGTAGGTGGCAAATACAGTGTAAACTGGGAACAGGGAGCAGCTGTTCCCATTGCAACAGAGAATGTAAGCTGGTGGTTCCAAGGAGCAGTGGGTGTTTATGGTGATCAATGCACAGAGCCCTCCCTGCCCCTGGTACTCTGAGGGACCTGGAGAGCTCTAGCTACACTTTCATCCTTCCAGATGTGTCGACCAGAAGTTTCGGCGCTGCCCAGCACTTCCCACCACCAGTGTAATCATTGTGTTTCACAACGAGGCCTGGTCCACGCTGCTGCGCACAGTGTACAGTGTCCTACACACCACCCCTGCCATCCTGCTGAAGGAGATCATACTGGTGGATGATGCCAGCACTGAGGGTGAGGCTAGAGGTGGCCCTGAGGAGAGGGTATTCTGGGAAGGAGGGCAGGTTCTCTCGAGGGAGCAAGCACCCTCACTGCCTGCTGCCTGGCATCACAGCTCATCGTAGAGGCCAGGAGCAGGGAGAAGGCAGGTAGGAACAGGAAGGTGGGGAACAAGAGGCAGGGAGACCACATTCCTAGAGCCTGGACTTCATCCCCACTTCACCCAAAGAGCTCCAAAAGCGTAGAAATTCTTGCTTTTAAGATTCCGTTAGAGCTGCCAAGCCCAATTCCAAGTCTGAAATGTTGGGAGAGGTCAGGGCAGAGGGTGGGGATGGGCCTTTCCTTTGTTTCCTACCTGCTAGACCCCTCATCTGCTCCTGAAAGATTCCACCTCAAAAGCCCAGTTTGCTAAAGCTGGTAATAGGCAAGTGATGTTGCTCGCCAAGCTTCCACCCATACCTTTTAAAGTAACTCCACAAACATCTGCAGAGCATTTTATTCCTGACACTGACCTAGGCATACGAGATACCATGACAAATAACAAATGAGATGGATCTTGCCCTGAAAAAGCTAACAACTCTCGTGAGTCAAATGGCCTCTTACAACATCAACCACAGCAGTGTGGCCTGTAATATACCCCTAACAGATGTGAAAGGGCATGGACTTGAGAGGCCAAAACCCAGGAATCAAATCCCAATTCTTGCTCTTCCCAGCTGTGTGACTTTCGTGCAAAATACTTAGCCTCTCTGAACCTCAGTTTCCTCTTCTAACAATAAAGACAGTTGGCTCCCTCACAGGGTGGACAAGGGATGAGAGATAGGTGATAAATGAGATAATTCATGTGACACAGAGTACTTAGATGAAGAGCTCCATAAGCATTGGTTTCAGTTTAGCCTTTGTATGGGAACAATGCATTCTGGGATCACACAGCCAGGTGATGTTATTTCTGCGTGGCATAGCTGGGACAGTCCACAGTGGGGGCCAGATTGGAGCTGGGCCTTACAGCATGAGTATCTAGGGAAAGAAGAGGTGTTGAAGGGCATTCCCAGAAGAGAAAATGGCATAGACATAATCCGAGAGGCATAGAGGTATTTGTGAAATATTGAGAGGGTTAATGTGGCTGAAGCTTAGGTTTGTTTTAGGAAATGACACTAGAAAGGTGTTGAGTTGAAATTCTTGCCATGCTAAAAGTATTTATCTGGGAAAAAAAATAAGAGTCATTGAAGGGGTTTCAGGTGGAGAGTGACCTTGTCTCGGAAGGATGGCAGTTGGGGTAGGGTAATGGTCTGGAAGAGAGGCAGAGGACCCTGAGTCCAGAGAGGAAGTTCTTTTAATCACATGAGAACTGATGACAGAGCCAGAACTAGGAAAGGGGCTGAGGGACTGATGCATCATTAGGTAGGAAGTCTCCAGGAGCAGAGCCCTCCTCCTGGGTGGACATGGTGTCTGGGGGTCTCCCGGGTTGGCCTCCTGTGCCCATGCACCCATATCGAGCACAGAAACTGATACCACACTTCCCAGAGTATGCCCTGGGGCCACTCCAACAGAGCTGCTGCTTCTCCTGGCCTTCCCCAAGCCCCCTTCCTGCCTTCTGGATTAGTGGTGATGCTAAAAAGTGGAATAAGGCTGGAGAAGGCAGTGGAGGAGGAGCTGAGTGTGAGTATTGGTGAGTCCATTTGTTTGAGGAGCTCACATTTCCCCAGGGAGGACAGACCTCTAGCAGCATTTACAAAGCAAAGGCCAACAAGTATCAGGGATGCAATGAGAGAGTCCGGTGGTCAAGGAACATAAGATTAGGCTTCTGGAAAGGTGGGGGCAAAGAGTTGGGCAGAGATGGGAGGGGCTTGGAAATGGCCCCTTAGTGGTAATAGAATGGGGAGCAAGTGTATCAGCCCTTCCTCTCAAACTGGACTCTCTGGTGACCCTTCTTCCCCAAACCTATGCTACCCTTCCCTCAAGTGCTTATTCCCTTTAATCACACAGGGTGGAAGTTTCTACTTGTCACCCAGAACTTTTTGAGTCCATAAGGTACAATTGCCCAGTTGGGCAACTCCTTTGACCAGGCTAGAAAAGTGACATAATACCCGGCTGGCACAGGCAGCATCTAAAGGGCACAGCAGCCTGTGCCTAGTAGGGTGGACTTTGCAGTGGCCACTTACAGCCCCTCCAAAGTGCCTGCCCCTAGCAGGCATTCTCTCTCTCTCTTTTTTTTTTTAATCCTCACCCAAGGACATTTTTCCATTTTTTGTTCAGATAGAGTGGGAAGGAGAGAGAGGAAGAGAAAGAGAAACATCAATGTGAAAGGGACACATTGAGTGGCTGCCTCCCGCACAACCCAACCAGGGTCGGGGACAAACTGCAACTGAGGTACATGCCCTTAGCGGGAACCGAACCCGGGTCTCTCTGGACCGCAGGCCGACGCTCTAACCGCTGAGCCAAACCAGCCAGGGCGAGGCATTCTCTTTAGTTGCCTCCTGGACTCTCTTAGGGCCAATTCCAGCATCTTGGAATCACCTGCCTAAAAATCCTCGACTTGTCATTCTTAGTTTTCCAGGCCCTGGCCTCCTTTGAGACTCTGTTAAAAGCTTTACCCTACTCCCTAAAATAGTGCAGAATGGCTACAATACTGTGCGCACACCCACATTTCTACATGTAATTCCAGGGAGTTTGTGGACCCTAGGAAAAACAACACCACCGTGAGGGCTTTCAGACTCTTGAGAGACTCTCAGCAATGTTCAGTTCAGTGGGAAAAAGGATAACACTCAGATCCACGGTCAGAAGACTCTACTGTCCACAGCAGGATAAAATTTTCCACACATTTACTGTTTGATCAGATTAACTGGCTCTTATTACACACACAGAGAGAAGAACTGTGTCTCTGCTGAAATACAATGTCCATGCTCTCTGTCCTCCTATCCAGGTACTTGGCAGTGCTCTATGACCACAAGTACACAACAGACATTTGATGCTGGGGTGGAGGAATGAGGCCCAGTGGCAGGCGGGGAAATTTATCTTACCTACTCAGAGTCTGAACCCTGGGCACAGATTTTACTCCTGTGTGGCCAGGTCAGAGCCAGGTGTACTCCTGGTCAAGCCCATTCCACAAGCTCATGAAAACTGCCCGCCCCAGGCCCATTGGTCTGTTGTGGCCCACACAGGTCATCCCCGTGTCAGAAACCCTGCTCTGCCCCTGAGGGAGACTGAGCCTAGGCCTCCCTCCTGTGGAATTTACTGGATGGATGAGAGGAAACAAGACAATACCCAGGACTTGGAGAGTTGAGAAGTGAACAGGGCCCTCTGTGAGTAAGTTCCTTATGAAAAGAGGTGGAGCAAGGAGGTGGAGCTGGCCAGGAATGGGGTGCTGTAGAAAGGGAAGGTAGAGGAATCAGCTGGCAAAGGAAAGGAGAGAAAGGGCAGCCCTGAAGTCAGAAAATGCACTATGTGAAATCCAGGGGAGGAGACATTTGGGGAGCACTTTGGGTTAGCTGAGTATTTTATTGTTGTGTAAGCTGGATTTATTTGCCTATTAATCTATCCATGGACATTGGGGTTATTGCCACAATTTGGCTTTTGTGAGTAGTGCTGCCATCAACATCAGCATACAAATATTTGTTTGCGTCCCTGCTTTCACTTCTTTTGGGTATATATACCCAGAAGTGGAATTGCTGGACCATGTGGTAATTCTATGTTTAATTTTTTGAGGAGCCACCATACTGTTTGGATTTGTGTCATTTTTGTTATTATTGTTTTATTTTCATCTTCACCCACGGGTATGTTTTTATTGATTTTATTTTTTATTTTTTATTTTTTTGTTTGTTTTTTATCCTCACCCGAGGACATTTTTCCATTTTTTGTTCAGGTAGAGTGGGAGGGAGAAGAGGAACAGAGAGAGAGAGAAACATCGATGCGAAAGGGACACATCAAGTGGCTGCCACCCGCACGACCAACCAGGGCCGGGGACAAACTGCAACCTGTTTTTATTGATTTTAGAGAGAAAGGAAGGGGGAGAGAGAGAGAAACATCGATGTGAGAGAAAAATATCTATTGGTTGCCTGCCTCCCGTTGTGCGTTGACCAGGGATTGTACTCACAACCTTTTGGTATGCGGATGGCACTCCACCCAACTGACCCACCCAGCCAGGGCTAGATTTGCTTTTAAGTTCAATTTTAAACCACTGTAGTGACATGCTCTGGTTTGGTTTTTCAAATTCACTGTAAAACTGCTGCCCCCTGTGGCTGCTCTGTCAAGAATAGATTGGGAAGAACAGTGTTGAGTAAAGGCCAGGAGACCAGTTAAGACATTATTGCTGGGGTGACAGTGGGGACCAGGAGAGAGAACTGGCAGTACTTGCTGATGGCCTAATTGTAAAGGCTGAGAAAAGGGGAGAATCCCACATGACTCCTGGGTTAGAGCATCTAGGGGGATGCAGGTACTGTGTACTGACATGAGAGTGCAGCTTGGGAGGAAATCTGGGGCTCCATTTTGGGCACGTTTGGTTTGTGGTTCTGTTAGACATCCAAGTGAAGATGGCAAGTCCAGGAAAGAAGACCTAGGAGCCATCTGCATATTTATGAGATGAGTCAGGTGTGTGTGTTGGAGGTCACAGGAGTCTTACAGGCTCTGTTATGAGGAATGAAGCTGGGTGGGGGTGGTGGGGTGTTAAATTAGGAGGCTGTTGTCTGAGAGACATAAGAGAGTATGGACGGGCCCTGGCCAGTTTGGCTCAGCAGTTAGAGCGTTGGCCTGCAGTCCGGAGAGACCCAGGTTCAGTTCCCGCTAAGGGCACGTACCTCGGTTGCAGTTTGTCCCCGGCCCTGGTTGGGTTGTGTGGGTGGCAACCACTCGATGTGTCCCTTTCACGTCGAGTTTCTCTCTCTCTCTCCCTCCCACTCTATCTGAACAAAATATCAAAAAATGTCCTCAGGTGAGGACTAAAAAAAAAAAGAGAGAGAGAGAGTATGGACGGGCTTGTCTGTGTCTCCATGCTCATATGTCCAGTGGATCCAGGGTTGTGACAGGAAGACTGTCAGGAGGGACATAACTTAGGGGGTTGTCTCACTCCCCTAGAAGGGCCTGCACTCATGCTCAGTATTCCCAGGTGCAGCCCAGCCACCTAAGCTAGAAGGAAGGTGCGGTAGAACGGCCTTGTAGAGCTCAGGCCCCGCTGAGGTTCATATCTCATTGCTTCTCAGTCTCTCACCACAAAACCCACTTCCTGTGATGTTTTGTCCCTGAGTTATCTCCATCACCATGAACTTCCTGTGAGCACAGTTCAGTGAGATCTCAGGGGAAACATCAGCCACACTGAGAAGGTGAGGCTCTTGGTTGGGGTTCCTCCCCCTGCTTGTTAAGCCAGCACTTGGAGCTACAGTTGGATTATGAGTCTGGGAGCTGCTTGAAGGCAGGACCCAGACCAGGCCTCTGTCTGCACCTGGGCAGTGAGTTATCAGGTGTTTGTTCAGTGAGTGCTGGGCTGAAGCTGCCAAATGAGGCTAATTTTGACTCATAAGCATTGGGGACAGTACTCCCTATTTCATAGTGTTTTAATCTTCATAGAGAATATTAAATAAGAAAGTCAATATGAAAGCATCTAGTTCAATGACTGGCACATAGCAAGTGCTCAAGCATTTGGGCTGTGTGTGTGTATGTGTGTGTAAGAGAGAGATCACCCTCACCCCAAATTGATTTCAGGCCCCACAGCTTGTATAGCACTGTGTTGGGAGCAAGGTCTGAGCACTGGGCTGATCCCACAGCTCAGAAGGGAAAGGACACAATCATCTGTCACACCTGCCCTCTACTTCCACTTCTGAACCGCAGGCAGCTCTTCCTGCATGGTCAGGAACAGAACAGGGCAGGGGCATGGGTAAACTGAGGTCGCAGTTAACAAACAAAAGTAAGATTTGGAACATGTTTCAAGGTGGATTGCTTCAAATAGAGCTATTTTTAATGCTCTGAGGATTTCAGACTAAATAACAGGGTTATGAAGTAAGCTTCCACTCAAGGAATAAAAGCTCTCAGCAGAGATACCCCTCCTTTCAAACAGCTTTCCCCATTCCCAAATTCAGGATGATTGCCCCCCACCCTACAGGCTTACTCGGCCCTGCAATACCTCTGGCAAGTCACTGATCACCTGTCCCCTAGGTGACCGGCCTCACCACTGTGTGTAGGCACTTGGTACATGTTTTAATTTAATTAAAAAGCAGCTCAGGTACAGTTGGTATGACTCAGTGGTTGAGCATTGACCCATGCACTAAGAGGTCGCAGGTTCTATTCCCGGTCAGGGCACATGCCCAGGTTGTGGGCTAAATCCCCAGGGAGGGGGCATGCAGGGGGCGGCCAATCGATGTTCTCTCTCATCGATGTTTCCATCTCTCTCTCTTTTCTTCTTCCTAAAATCAATAAAGAAAACAATATTTTTTCAGAAAAAGCAGCTCAGCATCTTTTTATTTCTTAAAACATTTCATAAGCAGAGGAGGTAATAAAGGAGATTAGAATAAGACTTCTTTTTTTACACATTTTTTTTTCTTTATTGATTTTAGAGAGAGAGGAAGGGAGAGAGAGGTAGAAACATCAATGAGAGAGAACGTCGATTGGCCGTCCCCTGCACGCCCACCACTGGGGGTGGGCCCACAACATGGGCATGTGCCCTGACCGGGAATCGACTGGTGACCTCCTGGTGCCAGTCGGTTCAACGCTCAACCAGTGAGCCACACTGGCTGGGCTAGAGTAAGACTTCTTGCTGCTGGTCCAGCAAATAAGAATTCAACATTTGTGTGTTCTACCTGGGAGCTTATTCTGAGGAGCCTGGGAGACAGGGAATCAGACACTGAGAAACAGCTGTCACAACCACTAGGTGTGGAAAAGGAGAGGAGGCTGGAATCACGGCTCTGAAAGATGGTGACTGAAAGGGCACAGAGACCAAGAGGGGCATCTGAGAGCCTTTGTCAGACCAAAGAAACACAACTATGAGGTCCTGTCTTGGACATCAGGAAGGTGTCTAGGTAAACAGGCATAGGATCAACACTGCAGAGCCAGTGTTTTGGCAAGGTGGGCTTGGGGTAACAGGGTGTGCTTGGCCCACGCAGGACTTCCTCCTTCCACCCCCTTCTCCACCATCTGCTCCCATGGAATTGCTTACTGCAGTAGGTGTGGGAGGGTTAAAAATTCAGGCCTGCTGGAGGCCAGAGAGTGCCAGGGCTTGGTGCCCACAGGAGATTAGGTTTGCAACAAAGTGGTGAGCTAACTACAATGACACTGTCCCTTCCAGAGTATTTAAAGGAGCAGTTGGAACAGTACGTGAAGCAGCTGCAGATCGTGAGGGTGGTGCGGCAGGAGAAGCGGAAAGGGTTGATCACCGCGCGACTGCTGGGAGCCAGCGTGGCACAGGCAGAGGTGCTCACCTTCCTGGATGCCCACTGTGAGTAAGAGTGCTGGCCTGGCACCCAGGCGGCCTGGGTGTAGTCAATCCACCACCCCTCTCCCTGGCAGAGTGAAGAGCTGTGACCACAGCATCAACAAGGCCCCTTCCTGCTCTGCCCCAGGAAGAAAGGAAGCCTGGAGCGCTCTCCAGCTTCTAGCCCTTTCTCACCCCAATCCCAAGGATGTTTTATCGAGAGGCACACATAACCCTAAAACAGTTGGTCACCCCACAGTTGCTGGGAGTGTGCTCTGGATCCCCAAACATTCCTCTCTCCCCTGATCTGTACCTTGTTCTGAACTCAAGCCTCAGAGAGGCCTCCTGTTACCACTGGGAACTGATATGTGTGGAGTTTTCCTGTAGGGCCACCTGGGGCCAGGAAAGCCTCCCTCTCACCTCAACCCAAAACACCTCCAACATTGTCAGGGGAAAAATAACTTCTCAAAAAGCAGTGATGCATACTGGGGAAAGCCTAGACTTCAGAGTCAGAAGACCCGGGTTTGAGTTCTGGTTCTGCCACTAGCAAAGCCTGTTTCCTCATGTGAAGATGGGAAAGGATACCAACTTTATTCACAACAGAATGATCACTCTGAGGGCCAAATAAAGTAATATACATAGTTCATTGAAAATCTCAAAGAGCTAGACAAATGAAAGGAATTGTTATTCTACAGCTGGAGCTGAAGCTTGAGATACAGATATTCCTGAAAGAGGGGACACCTGCTTCTTCAGTCCACACTTGGGTAGGGAGGGCTGATAGGTTGGGAACCCGAAGACACCCACCCAGGGCCTTCTCTGTGCTTTTGGATCCTTTGATTGACGATGTTACTCCCCTAAGACCTCCATTCTCCACTCCAAAGCTGCCTGCATCTTTAGGTAGGGGGAGGAGAGGGGAGAAGTCGGTTCCCAGGAGATCTCTCCATGCTCTGAATAGCTGTGGAGCCTGCCTGTGTTTCTCAGCCTATGGCGGGGAAGTAGATGGAGAATTCTCTTGTCCCCCGGGGTCTCCCCGCTGGCCTGGGGCATGGACTTAGCTGTGATCAGGACCCTGGCAGCTGTCTTCTGGTCTGGACCTGCAGGTGAGTGCTTCCATGGCTGGCTGGAGCCCCTCCTAGCTCGCATCACCGAGAATGAGTCAGCGGTGGTGAGCCCAGACATCGTCACCATTGACCTTAACACCTTTGAGTTCTCCAAGCCCGTTCAGAAGGGCAGAGTCCATAGCCGTGGCAACTTTGACTGGAGCCTGACCTTCGGCTGGGAGACTCTACCTCCACATGAAAGGCAGAGGCGCAAGGATGAGACCTACCCAATCAGGTAAGGACCACAGCCTAGTGAGCCCCCAACCTGGCCTACGTGGACCCAGACTCACCCAGTCCTGGGGACCTGGGCCATCTCAGGTTATCATTTATTAGTGCTCTATCAAGCACCTGACATATTTTATTTAATCCTCATCTCCTATGATTAGCCTGTTTTACAGGCGAGAACACCAAGGTTCCTAGTGATAAAAAGTTGGCCTCAGATTGTGCAGCTAACTAAAGGTGGAACAGGGATACTTGTCCTGGCCTGTCTGACCCAATGCCGGAGCTCCCAACCATGGCACTAGAATGCTCTTATCTGCCACTTACTGTGTGCCAGGCACTGGACTAAGGGCTTTACGCACTTTGTGTCATCTATTCCTCCCTCCACGTAGGAGGCCATGCCTGGTGCTTGCAGAGGTGCTGAGAGACGGTAGTGGCTATCATTGAATGGCTATTGTAAGAAGAGGGCGCAGCATGTGCTCACAGGTCATTCTCTTTGAAAAGACTGAAAACACATTAAAAGAATACAGGCAGCCCTGGCCGGTTTGGCTCAGTGGTTGGAGGGTGGCCCGTGGAATGAGTCACAGGTTCGATTCCAGTTAAGGGCACGTACCTCAGTTGCGGTTCGGTCAGGGTTGTGAGGGAGGCAACCAATTGATGCGTCTCTCTCACATTGATGTTTCTCCCTCTCTCACTCTCTCTTTATCTCTCCCTCCCACTCTGTCTGAAAATAAATGGAAAAATAATCTCGGGTGAGGATATAAAAAAAAAGAATATAGACAAGTATTCTGCCGTTTGTTGCAGTTGCCCTGAACTTTTTTGGCAAGGGCCAAATAATATTTCAGGTTTGCCAGCTACATACAGTCTGTTGCATAATATTCTTTCTTTGTGTTTCTTTTAAAAACCCTCTAAAGATGAAGAAAACATTATTTGCCCCAAGCCTTATATAAAGCCAGACCAGATTTGGCTCAAAGGCCATAGTTTGCGAATCCCTGAGCTACAGGGTGGATGTGTGAAAGTTTACCCATTGTTTAGTGCCCACCTGGGTTAACCTTCCCCTCATACATCTACCCTGTCTTTCTCCAACTGCCTGTTGGTGGTGGTAAAGACCACAAGTTTATTTATTATGTTTTTACTAATTTTTAGGGAAAGAGGAAGGGAGAGACAGAGAGAGAAAAACATCGATCGGTTACCTCCTGTATGCACCCCGACTGAGGATTAAACCCACAACCTAGGTATGTGCCCTGGCCAGGAATCAAACCTGCAGCCTTTTGGTATAGAGGATGATGCTCCAACCAACAGAGCCACCCAGCCAGAGAAACAACACGTTTATTTTAACAGATTTCTCAGCCCAGCTGAGTTGGGGAGTGACTTTTAGAGTATCCTATGATTATCTGACATTGTTTTCCTGTACTGGCCAGGAAACTCCAGGGTCAACTGAATATCTATGTGATGGAGGAAAGCAGAGGTAGGGTTTACACTGAGCAGAGATAAGAGGGAAGGCTTGAAAGGAAGACAGCACTGGAGTTCCTTCCCTTCCACATGCCCAGATCCTAACAAATGTCCAGAATCTCAATGGAGAGGGCTCGGGTGGGTGCCACAGGAAGTAATCCATTGGATCCTGAACAGCCAGCTGCTCTGTCCCCATTAGGAGGAGGAGAAGCAGCAACAGAAAGAAGAGAGGAGAAAAGAGAAGGCAGGAGGGAGAAAAGAAATTAGAACTCCCTGTTGAGTCTGCCTGTTTCATAGATGTCTTTTGTTTGGTGTGTACAGCAACAAAACTCCCTTCCCCCAAGCTGGGGCCAGGCACACAGTGCCACAGTCAGGGACAGGGCACCTGGCCGCCACCCATCACCACACAGCTGTAAGAAAAGCTCCAGTGTTTGAGGAATGAAATTGCTCCCTGGTGGCACACATAGCTTGCCCTCAGCACTGCATAATACCGCACCAGGTGCCCTGGCCGGTTTGGCTCAGCGGTTAGAGTGTCGGCTGTGGTCCAGAGAGACCCCGGTTCAGTTTCTGCTAAGGGCATGTACCTCGGTTGCAGTTTGTCCCCAGCCCTGGTTGGTCGTGCGGGTGGCAGCCACTCAATGTGTCACTTTCACGTTGATGTTTCTCTCTCTCTGTCTCTACCTCTCTCCCCCTCCCATTATATCTGAACAACAAAAATGAGAAAAAAATGTCCTCGGGTGAGGATAAAAAAAATAAATAAATAAATATCACACCTACAGGCAGTACCCTCCCATCCTCTACAAGATAAATGACCCACAGGATCCTAAGAAGTAGGCCAGGAAATACAGGGTGTTGCCTGGTTGGTTGTGGGTCTGCAGTGTTTTCCTGTATAGGGTTTATCCTCAGAGGTAATTTATGAGTGGCTTCTGGGTCAGAGAGACCTCTCAAAGCCCAGGAATAGGCCCAAGTCAGGGAGACCCTCAAGAAGTAGGTTAGGCCCTGGTAGCTCAGTTGGTTAGAGCATTGTCCTGATACACCAAGATTGCGGGTTCAATCCCCAGTCAGGGCATATACAAGAATAAACCAATGACCCAGCTGGTGTGGTTCAGGGGATTGAGCATCATCCCATGGACTGAGAGGTCCCAGTTCAATTCCTGGTCAGGGCACATGCCCAGGTAGCAGGCTTGATCCCCAGTAGGGAATGTGCAGGAGGCAGCTGATTGGTGTTTCTCTCTCACATCGCTATTTCTCTCTTTCTCTCTCCCCTCCTCTCTCTCTAAAAAAAAAATCAAAAAAGAATAAACCAATGAATACTTAAATAAGTGGAACAACAAATCAATCTCTCTCTCTCTCTCTCTCTCTCTCTCTCTCTCTCTCTCTCTCTCTCTCTCATCAATAAGTAAAAATTAAAAAGAAGAAGTAGGTTAGGTCCGAAGTGCTCATCTGGAGTCCCAGGACTATCTGAGCCTTTCAGGGCCTTACTTGGGCCGGCTTAGAACTCCGGGGTCAACACCAGTGACAGAAAGCCTGTGTGAGCATGAGGATTTCCCGACTACGATTTCTTACAGAAAGCAGCTGCAGGACCAACTTCAGGGCAAGGAGAGCAGCCACAAGGTTAACTCCAAGGTCAGGCTCCGGTGAAGTCACCTTGACTGATCAGTCCAGTGGATGCTAATTGAGCCCCTGCTGTGTGTAAAGCACCTTGATGGGTTCTGGGCTACATGAAGAAGCAACAGAAGGGGGCAGCAAAGTCCCATCCGGGAGAGCCTGACTAGGCACAGCTGCTATCACCTGCCGATTAAGTATCTGGTGGTTGATCCTAGTCTCCCCCAACCCCTACCCCTACCTTCAACCCTTAGCCCAGCACCCCTTTTGAGCAACGTGATATATAAATTCTAGGAATGAGATGTTAATTTATCTTCATATGGGTCTGTGCCTCCCTGCTTTTGTCTGAAAGCTGGTATCTTTTTGTGATCCAAATGCTCTCTTCAGTGTAAATTGAGCTTGATGTCATCTCATTTCCTATTCTGTTTCCAGGAGCTTCCTCTGTTCAAAGCAGCTGGCAGATTTTCCCCAAAGCTACTTGCTCATGCAGTGTTAAGCACCAGGGCAGGACTCCTACTAAAACTGGCTTTCTAGTCCCTCGAGGGCCAGTAACCCTGAAAGAGAACAGGGTCGGTCCAGCTCATAATATTCATTCATGATTTGAATCCTATTTCCAAGAAGACAATTTCACATAGCTTCTAATAACCGAGTGTTTACTGTGCTCCAGGAACTTCGCTACCAAAAAGCAAACAAACACTGGTACCCTCTGCTACCTGACTGAGCTCTCAGAGAATGGGCTCTGTCTCTCTTAGCTCTGTTTGCCTAACGTGTAGCACAGGCCCTGGTGGCTGGTATTTAATACATCCTTGGTTGAATGAATGAATGAATGAATGGGTGCCTTTTAGAAGAGAGTAATGATAATTACATCTCTCCTTGACCTGGTTCCTAGAAGGTAAATGAGACATGGTGAAAGCTCAATAAACATCTGCTAAATGAACAAGTTAGTGGAAGAGGGCCACCCATCCTGGGAAAGGGGTGGGAGTAGAGTAGGAAGCATTAGCGGAGAGTCCACAGCTTTCCACCCCAGGCTCCCACTCCCTCCTCTCCCAGAAGATGCACATGCTTCTCCCTCTGTCTCTCCAGATCCCCGACGTTTGCTGGTGGCCTCTTCTCCATCTCCAAGTCCTACTTTGAGCACATCGGTACCTATGATAATCAGATGGAGATCTGGGGAGGGGAGAACGTGGAAATGTCCTTCCGGGTGAGAGTGAAGAGGGCTTTGAGGGGGGAAACCACAACATCCCAGGGGACAGCCTGAGAACCTGTCTCTTAGGCAGCAGGGATATCGCATCTGGAACTGAACTTAAAAGGTGGCTGTTTCCTGGCATGACTCAGCTTTTCCTCTGCTCTGCTCCCCTCAGCCTCTGGCAGTAGGGCTTGGGAATCAGATTAGACAACTCGAAACAAATTACTGGGCAGACCTCCTCAGAGAGAAGGGATAATAGCGGTAATGGGAACTGGACATCTGGGCAGTGGTGGCATCTTTCATGGTGTCTGTAGAAAAGGATTAGACCCTGGTCAAGGGCTTAACGGTCGAGGACCCTGAAGTAGGTCAGTAAGTAGTCACTATCCTTTTTCTAGAAAAATCAGGTTCCCCTTTCCAGGTCAGAGGACATATGCCCTGGTAGTCTTTAGAATTTCCCTACTCTGTTCAGAAATTTCTCCGTACCGTAGGAGAAGATGGTGCCCAAATTCTGGTGGACCCCAGAACTCTGAGAAATTCCAGGAATAAGGCAAATCAGGATTAGGTTAGGAAGAAAGGATTGCATCTCCATGCAATCTATACAAATCTCCATGCCAGTGGAGAGGTAATTAGTATGTAAATGAGCTTGTTTGTGAAGTCACCTCTCACATCACATTGCCTGGCACATGTTAAGCACATCTTTAATATGAGCTGTTACTATGATTATGTATTTCTGTTACTGCTAAACTAAAATGAACAACATGCCCCCTAATTTAAAACCTAAAAAAAGAAGACACAGGTGGTTGGGCTCAAATTGAAGGGTCACCAGCTCATTCACTACAACTCCCAGGATTCTGATTCTAGGCTCCTCCATGAGCCTCTGACTTCTGTTCAGTCTCTCTCCAAGGGAACTGGTGTGCTAAAGGTCCAGGTGACCGCCACAGGCCAGCTGGCAGTTGACTGTCCTTGCACTGATGCTCAGATTGGGTCACAAGTCTATCTTGATTTGAGGAAGCTTGAGTTTTCTAGTAACACCTGTGTGAGCTGATCAAATCACATTTTCAGGTCAAAAAGCCAAGTGACCAGAGCTCAAAGTAGGTATACAAACACAAAGTTAGCTAAACTGTCTTCTCTAAAGTGGGCCCTGGTAAACAAACCTTTAGGCATGCAAATTTCTGTTTGCTAAAATCAGAGTGAACCAATGTCAGAGAGCTAGGGATGGTGCAGTCATGGCCTAAGAAGAAGCCTGGCCAATGTCCTTTCTTCCAGGAGAGAGAGCAGCATTTCCTGGACCAGGGGTCTGGCGCTCTGGGGATGGAACAGAGCTGCTTGTGGGAAGACTGTCACACCCGGCCCTGAAGGCCCCATTTTGTATCCTCCTACGGCAGGTGTGGCAGTGTGGGGGCCAGCTGGAGATCATCCCCTGCTCTGTGGTAGGCCACGTGTTCCGAACAAAAAGCCCCCACACTTTTCCCAAGGGCACCAACGTCATTGCTCGCAACCAAGTGCGCCTGGCTGAGGTCTGGATGGATGGCTACAAGGAGATTTTCTACCGGAGAAATGTGGAGGCAGCAAAGATAGCCCAAGAGGTGAAAGGAAATGGTGCGGGGGGGGGGGGGGGCTGGTGAAGAGAAGGACAGAATCCCAGACCATGGTCAGGGGCTCAATGGTAGAGGTTCACCCATCTCTACCACCGGTGCTTCCCTTTCTGGCTTAGAGCCTGTGACCTATAGCCCAGGGCAGCTAGAGAATGAGGAGAGGAGTCTCTGTTGTCTCTGCTAGAGAGCCCTAGCATCTTTTAGGAGGGGAAGTCAAAGAGATTTGGAGAAATAACCCTTCTAGAAGGACTCGCTTTGCTCTGAGAGGCTCAGAATGAGGCTGGGAGAAAACTGAATAGGCAGTGACAGGAGACTATGGGGTAAGGGGGCTACGGGTGGAGATCTCAAAGCCAAAATGGGGTTTGGGATTGGATGTGAGGCTGGGTCAGTAGCTCCAACAGGTCCTGAGCATGAATGAGCCGGAGACCCATTCTGGGAAAAAGTGACCCCAGGAACTCTGGACTACTTCAACCCAGACAAGAAGGTCACGGCTGGTAGAACTGACCCTTGGGGGGTTGCCTTGGTTGACAGAAATCCTTTGGTGACATTTCGGAACGACTGCAGCTGAGGGAACGACTGCACTGTCGTAACTTTTCCTGGTTCCTGCACAACATCTACCCAGAGATGTTCATTCCTGACTTGAAGCCCACCTTCTATGGAGCTGTGAGTCCTGAGAGCAAGCTTGCCTGCATCATCACAGAACCCCCTAGAGAAGTTCAGGACCACTTACTCCACGGAGAGATGACAAATGAGAATTGAGTTTTATTCTCCACACTCCTTTATCCAGAAGAAGGACTTTAGGTCTTCTAGAGAGAGCTAAAATCCTTATAAGCAGAAAACAACCCATAAGCAGTGGCTCTCAAACACTCCCTTGCACCAGAATCATCAGGAAGGAGTGTTAAAACAGACGCTGATTCACTAGGACTCGGGTGGAGCCTGAAAATTTGCATTTCTAACAAGTTTGTGGGTGATGCTGATGGTCTGGGGAATCACACTTTGAGAGCCATCACTCATAAGGAAGTTCCCAAGTGCTGAGGGCTTCTCCCAGGGACCTGGCAGCCTAGGAGGTGCATAGCCTGCCCTGGCCCAGCCTCTGGGCTCTGCACCTCACTTTGCTATTAACTCCAGGCATCTGGGTTAATGAGCAGAGGAGAAATCCAGTCATGCAAATTTATTCCAGTTAGGCCTGGCACCACGAACTAAAAAACCCCTGACTGTGCTATCCTGGTTTCCCACTCTGCCTCCCATTCTGCAGATAAAGAACCTTGGCATCAATCAATGCCTGGACGTGGGTGAGAACAACCGAGGAGGGAAGCCCCTCATCATGTATGCCTGCCACGGCCTTGGCGGCAACCAGGTATATAACCCAACCCTACTGGTGTAGGTCCAAGAAAATCCTGAGTCTGGTCATCTCCTCTCGTAACAAGCCCCCTTTCTCTACTCAACATAGTAATTTCCTAAGGACAAGCATGGGGGATATCCAGAGAGAAAAGGAGATACCATTCCTGCCCTCAGAAAGCTCCCAGTGTGGCCCTGGCCAGTTTGGCTCAGCGGTTAGAGCATCAGTCCACAGACCAAAGAGTCTTGGGTTCAGTTTCAGCCAAGGACCCTTACCTCAGTTGTGGTTCATCCCCAGCCCAGGTCAGGGTCATGCTGGAGGCAAGCAATCGATGTGTCTTTCTCACATCGATGTTCCTCTCTCTCTCTACCCCCTGTCCCTCCCTTCTACTCTATCTAAAGATAAATGGAAAAAATATTCTCAGGTGAAGATTAAAAAAAAAAGAAAGAAAAAAGAAAGCTCCCAGTCTAAGGAATAATGCATGACACAGACAGACAAGGTCTGAAGTCTGGATTAGGGACATACAGAGGGCCCTGGACATCAGTGCTGGGAGCTAGAGAGGGATGGAGAGGAGGGCTGTTCAGCAGAGAGGCCTTGCTGGAGGTTGCCAACTACTAAGTGACGTTTTAGGGTAAGTGTGGGAAATTTTTTAGCATTTTCCCTCACCTACATACAGCGTCTATCTTCAGTGCCTCTTCTGCCTGGAAAATACCACTCTGATCCTACTACCCAAAAAGGACCCAGAACAACCATCTCCTGACATCTCAGTCACCTGGCACCCTGAAAATTTACTCCATGCCCTATAATGGCCCAGCTCTTCCCTGAGGGGTAACTAGTAACCTCCCCGACCCAAGTCCCTCAGTCTGCCCTGAATCCCTGAATGCCTAGCATCTGTTAAAGAAGTACTTAAACCGCCCTGGCCAGTTTGGCTCAGCGGTTAGAGTGTCGGCCTGCGGTCCGGAGAGACCCGGGTTCGGTTCCCGCTAAGGGCATGTACTTCGGTTGCAGTTTGTCCCCGGCCCTGGTTGGTCGTGCGGGTGGCAGCCACTCGATGTGTCCCTTCGATGTGTCTCTCTCTCCCCCTTCCTCTCTCTCCCTCCCATTCTATCTGTACAAAAAATGGAAAAATACCCTCGGGTGAGGATTAAAAAAAAAAAAAAAAGAAGTACTTAAACCATAAATGAAGCAAGGGAAGGCGTGGCTTGGGACACTGAACAGACTGCACACACACACAAAGACAAAGTCATTCTAAAGCAATTCCCTGTACCACTGGCCTGCACAAAGATTTTAGGTGGTACATTGGTGAACCATTTTATTTTGCTAGTAACCCCTTAGCAAAAAAAAACAGCTGGCTGGTCAAACTCATGAGTTCCCAGATAATGCTTAAAATGAAGCTAACTTTAAATTTTAATTAAATAAAAAATATTAACTATTACTCCAGTATAACCCAAATATGGCTACAAGTTCCTGAAGGTGACGCCTGAACTACTAAAGTCTTGTCACCCTCTCACTTGCCTCCCCAGGAGGCCATGTGTGGTTGGCATTTTAGGGCAGATGCGTGGAAGGTGTTGGGCAAACTCCACCTGTCCCTCAGGCCTCCTCTTGTCTTGACCTCTAGTACTTTGAGTACACAACCCAGCGGGACCTTCGCCACAACGTTGCAAAGCAGCTGTGTCTACATACCAGTGCTGGCAATCTGGGCCTTAAGAGCTGTCACTTCACTGGCAAAAACCAAGTCCCCAAGGACGAGGAATGGGAATTGACCCAGGTAAGTCAGCTCAGTATCAAGAACCTGAGGCCAGCCCTGGCCGGTTTGGCTCAGCGGTTAGAGCGTCGACCTGCGGTCCAGAGAGACCTGGGTTCGGTTCCCGCTAAGGGCATGTGCCTCGGTTGCAGTTTGTCCCCGGCCCTGGTTGGTCGTGCGGGTGGCAGCCACTCGATGTGTCCCTTTCACATCGATGTTTCTCTCTCTCTCTCTCTTCCTCTCTCTCCCTCCCACTCTATCTGTGCAAAAAATGGAAAAAAATGTCCTCGGGTGAGGATAAATAAAAAAAAAAAAGAACCTGAGGCCACCAGTGGCCCCCTCCTTATTTTCTGCATCTTATGCTTGAGATACCATGAGGTAGATCAGGACAATGTAGAAAGTACGGAGGATGTGGGCTTGATCACAGGCAGGGTTCCCAGAGCTTGAATAATGTTTGGTGATGGCTGGTTCTGGCTGATAGAAAGATAGGGTCGGTCTAAAAAGAAAGAAAGGAAGGGTCGGGGGTTTTGGTCCGTGGCCAGCTGTGTCATGGCTCAAGTATTTTTAGAATGAACCTAAGTAGATGAAACTGAAGAGTCACTCATGGTTTCTGCCTGTCCTCTATGTGCCAGGCAGAAAGCTGTGCACTCACATACACTGGTTTGATTAATATTTCAGAGGCTTTTCCAGAGAAGCTCAGCAAGTTTGTGAGTGGCCCAAGACCCATCATTAGTAACTGGCAGGAGGCCTGAGAGTCAGACCCAGATAAGGCTGACTTGAAAGCACAGGTTTTTTCCATTATACCACACTGCCTCAGGATTAATAATGTAACGTCTACAGTACTGAGCCCAAACTAGCATCCCCTACTCTACCCTCGTCCCCAGTCCCTGGCTTAGGGAAAGAGGAACCTACTCTTGGGGCTAAGGGAAAGGAGGAGTCTAGATATGATCCAAGGCAGAAAGTGAAGGTAGGCAGCAGTAGCTCAGGTCTTTAAGACGGGCCATCTGGAGGAGGCAGGCCCGGAAAGCATTTATCAGTTAGTCCACGGTCCTTCCTCTATACCAGCCATCCAGGCCAAAACTTGGGGTGGATGGTTGGCACCAGACGCAGGTGGAAACCCAGGAATGCATCCCCTCAGAGTGTCTGGTGTATTGCCAGACCTGTGGCAGTACTATTATTGCCCCCTCAGTCCTAGTAGCACTTACAGGACTTTACTATATCATCTTTTAGGATCAACTCATCAGGAACTCAGGATCTGGTACCTGCCTGACATCCGAGGACAAAAAGCCAGCCATGGCCTCCTGCAATCCCAGTGACCCCCACCAGCACTGGCTCTTCATCTAGGCCCCAGATCATCCCCTGTGGGAGTTCCCACAAGCCTCTCAGGAAACGGTCTTTTGGGGAACTGACGTGTGGGAACCCGATCATCAGCTTCTCTATAGACCTTAAAGCTGGGGTTCTAAACCTAATTTTGGATGTCAAGGCAGCACCTTCCTACTCCTTGCAACAACACTGGGCCATTTTCTTTTCTCCACATTGATGGAAGAGACTGTAAGAACACATAACACTTGACCTCTAGAGCTTTCCTTGTGTCCTAGAAACAACGCAGAGAAAGCTCCTGGGATAGGGCCCAAGGCAGCAATGCGAATTCAAAAAAAGGACCTCGGCAGCCATGTCCTGACTCCCTGGTCATCTAGAGCACCTACAGAATCTAGTGATGTAGTATATTCTAGCAGCTATCCCTCTGTTAGAGGTCTAAGAGCATCTCCCTTGCTAATAGAACCCTACGTTTGTAGAGACATTTACAGTTTACAGAAAACACCCTGATAGAAATCCTTTCTCTTCCTTCATCCGGACAATGACTCTGTAAGAAAGGCAGGACAGGAACCAGCATGCCCACTTTGCAGATAGGAAAGCTGAGGCAGAGAGGGGTGAAGGAGGTTGTCTGTAGTCCCACAGCTAGTGGATGATGGGAGCCAAGACTGAAGCTGGATCTTGAACACTGAACAGGTGCCTTCCACCACACCACAAGAACACTAAACAACCAGCCTCCGGCGTTCCCATTCTCTCTTCCCTCCCTTCTGATCATTTCTGACTGGCTGGTCTCTGTAAAGCTTAGAACAATGGAGCCAGGTGACCGTGAGGAAGACCATACAGTTCATGGAGCCAGTGATTCTCAGGTTTAAGTCCCAGAACCCTTTTTTTCAGTGCCCCATACGTAATGTAATAAAAGGCGAAGTAGCCATGGATAAAATTAAGGGTGGATAAGGGCAATGTCCACTAGCCCCTGAACTTCTAAAATTCTGTAAGATAATTTGAAAACTTATCATTTTTTATTATGAAACCAAGGGCAAATAAGTGAGGTAATGTGCCCAAGGCCACACAGCAAGGCACTGGCAGCTGAGGCTAGGACCCAGATAAGGCTAACAAGAACCCTGGGAAGTCTGAGGCAGCAGGGACAGTGTATAGTCAAACACAACTGTATGACTGGCCCTGTCTGCTGTACTTGCATGAAGTTCCCATGTGGAGCAGACCTGACATGCATGTCAGCTCTTTTCCAAGCAAGTTAGACCCCACACACTTGGACTCACAATTCCTTCCAGGATTTCTTTCGGTAGTAGGTTGTCATCTTAGGCATCACCACATGAGGGTGCCATGGGACCACAGCTGCCTCTCCTCGTCAGCAACTGACTACTACAGGTCTCCTGTCCCTGAAGAGCCTTCAGGACCCTGTAGAGGAAACATTCTGGATAGCCCAGCCACAGGGAGAAGACAGAACATAGCCTCTCCCTGGATGTGGCCAGGAGTGGGAAAGGAAACAGGTCTTCTCCAGAAAGAGAAGAGAATTGGACATGAGATCCTGTAGAAATAAAGGTTTTATGGCATTGGTAAAGGAAGTTTGCATTGTATTGTTCCTCAGCTGACCCTTTGAAGAATCTGTTGGTTCAGGCTGGGAAAAACTACACACATCTAAAAAGTCTGTCACAGCCACTGGCTCTTGTTTCCAAACACCCTCTGGCCCCCAATCTAGCCTACACATCGTGTGTCAAGCACATGTAGACGTGAGGAGTTATAGGATGAGGCTCTTCCCCCGTGGAACTCATATGCTTGCTCGGGAAACGAGATTCAAGCAAGTCTTGGAGTGTCCAGAGATATGCTAGGTGAGTTAGAATAATTCCTTCTAGAGGAATCAGGGAGGGCCTCGCAAAGATTGTGACATTTGACTTTAGACCTCAAAGGATGAATCCTCAGGTGGGAAGGACTCAATAAGCAAAGACCTCATACAAGAAATGATCTCGCATGAGAAGAGTCACAGAGGGACAAAGACACAAGTGGACCTGGGAGACCAAGAAGACATCAGTGTGAAGGAGCAGTGGCTGGAGAAGCTAGAAGATCAGGGCCACGTTATGACTTTCATGGGCACTTTTGCCTTCATAAAAAATATTTAAAGTTATGTTTTATAACTGCATTGGTCTAAAGATGAGCATAACCCAGGCTGATAGTATTCATTTTATTTATTAGGATTTTAAGAGAAACTAAAACATTTTTGTGTGCCCCTAAAAGTATTGTGGGCCCTAGGCATGTGCCTGCTATGCCTACTGGGTGAGTCAGCCCTATAGAACAGGGGTTTGGGGCCCAATTAAGAAGGCTTTGAGCCCTGGCCAGTTTGGCTCAGCGGTTAGAGCGTCGGCCTGCAGTCCAGAGAGACCCGGGTTTGGGTCCCACTAAGGGCGCGTACCTCGGTTGCAGTTTGTCCCCGGCCCTGGTTGGTCATGCGGGTGGCAGCCACTCGATATGTCCCTTTCACGTCAATGTTTCTCTCTCTCTCTCTTCCTCTCTCTCCCTCCCACTCTATCTGAACAAAAAATGGAAAACTGTCCTTGACTGAGGATTAAAAAAAAAAAAGAAGGCTTTGAATGTCATGCTAATAAGTCAGGTGAGCCATAGGGAGCCATAGTCTCTAACTCTAACCCAAGCCCTACTCTTGATTGCATTAAACATCTAATAACTTATCAGGCATTATTTGCCATTTGTCCCAATATCACTCATACAGTCTGTAATATCACCCAACAGCTCTCCAGCTCGATCATATGATGTATGCCCAACCAGGGTGCCCTGATGCGATTCCTCACCCCTACCCAAAAACAGCATAGCCTCTCCCAGGAGCAGTCAGATAAGAAGAGCTCACAGTAAGTGAGAGATGCGACAAAAGAAAGAAAAGACCGTACGACATACCTACAGAAGAGGCCCAGGTTTGGGGCGCGGCGAGGACTAGGGAAGGGAGATGGTCAGGAAGGAAAGGCACTAACAGGTTGTGGAAAGTCTCAAGAAACCGGCGCCACCGCCTCTCTTTAGCCGAGACGGGCGTCGTCCTAACCTGACATCTGCACTGTTCTTAAAGTCCACCCCTCTGACCACTCTCGGAGCTCCAGAAGCCTCTTGCCTTGGCATTGGATGGAGGAGTTCTTTCCCACTTGAAGACTATTGATACCATTGTCAGAAATAGCTAAATGTCCCAGAATGTATTCTCTACTTATTTTTAATTACAAAGTAATTCTTTAGAGAAGTCAAATAATAAGAAAAATATGAGTTTAAAAAGTGAAATTCATCCTCACAATGTTCCCATACCTGTTGATTCTTTCTCTAGATGTAATAACTCGACAGCTTGGTATAAACCCTTCCACACTGCTTTTCTATGAATCTACAAATACGCATGAACACAATAATGCTTGCAACTTGATTTCTTTCTTTAATATATCAAGGACATCTTTTCATGTCAGTTTACTTAATTCCAACTCATTTTTCTTTTTATTTATTTATTCTAAATTACAAGAGAATGTTTATTAAAATTCCTTGTGAAAATTCCAGCAAAGCAGATTTAAAAGTGTCTGTGTGATCAATTTGACCAATTACTGTGATTGTATGTATGTAAATGAGCAGGCCAAACTAAAACTGGACTTAATGCAATCTCTGAAAATGAGGGTAATCTTAGAAAAGCCATGTTTCAGTGGAAACCATCCTGTCCATTTGTGGATATTGGACTCCAGTGCAGTTAACTGTCTTCAGTTTTGCTTTCAAGACTGTGTCTGTGTATGCCATACAGGCCTCAGCACCTGATGGCATCACCAAAAATAGTCTAACTGCAGACAGTCTATCAGGTTGTCACTGTGTACATTCATTCCAGCAGAAAACTTGCATCTGAAAATCTTCTCAATTGGCTTATGATTTGCTATGTGCATTAACCTTTATATTTTGTATTCTTCTATTTTCATAGAATGTATGCCCATGTCCTTATTTACCTGATCGCTTATGCACACAACATAAGCCACACTGTAGAAACCATCTGCATTACCGTGTCCTGAAAATAAGACTCAATGGTTTGAACTTACAGTTGACTCAATGAAATACGAATGGTCTATCTGCTTCACTGGAAACTACTTTCCCTTTTCTGCCCAAACGGTTCAGACAGAAAAGGCCCACAGTTGCTCACAGGGGAAATCTTAGAATATTTCCCTTAGCTTAGCTTAATTTGAGTTAAGTATGGTGGACAGAAGCGCTTAAGACAGGTGCGACACACCTGCCTCCAGGGAAACCACTCCTCCAACCTAATCTGGGACACTAAATTAGCCTTTCCCTTTATCACATGGGTTTTTACCTCTCACTAGACTTTCAGTTGTTGTAAGGTCTCCTCACTTTTTAATTCTGCCTTTTATCCCTCTTGCCAAGTTTTTCATTTCTAGAATACAAGGATGCAAGCTTGTCCAATGTGTCATCCACCTCCAGGGACACCTGTGTCACCCTCCAGGGACACCAGACTGTCCCGGACTTCGCAAAATCCCCCTTCCCTGCATGAAGACTTCCCTTCCCTTTTGCTCCTCCTCCCTCGGTCAGACAGGAAGAACCTCTGAACCTTGGGATAGACAGGACTATGCCCTCTGACAGCAGGAAGCAGTTACAAGAAGATGGAGACCTTTGTCCATTTATCCTTTGTAAGATTACAAAGAGGTTCTTTCTCTCTAAGGGGAATGATACCATTGTAATTAGCTTGTTTTAATAATAGGAAAGGAGCCCGGCCAGTGTGGCTCAGTGGTTGAGCGTTGACCCATGCACCAAAAGGTCACCAGTTTGATTCCCAGTCAGGACACATGCCCAGGTTGTGGGCCAAATCCCCAGTGGGGGGCATGCAGAAGGCAGACAATCGATGTTCTCTCTCATCAATGTTTCTAACTCTCCCTCTCCCTTCCTCTCTAAAATCAATAAAGAAAAAAATTTATTTAATAAAAAAACAATAAAGAAAAAAATTTTTTTTAATGTTTAAAAATAAATAAATAATAGGAAAGGAGCCTGGCTCTCTTATGCTCTTGGTTTCTCTTGGTACTCTTGGCTCCTGGTTCACACTTGGCTTCCTAGCATTCTCCTGTGTGGCCCACAGCCACGCGGACCCCCCACACAATGGACTAATAGACTGCTGCTAACCTAATGCTGACTGGGCCCTGCTCCAATATGGAATGGAAACTCTGGACACTGGCTCTGAATGTAGTCCTACAGAAACCCAGCTATACTTCTTCTATGACTGGACTAAGGGAAATGGGACTTTGGAAACTCAGGGGTGTCTTTTCATGAAAATAAAGCTTTCCACTATATCGCATCCTCCTGTGCAATTTTTAGAAAATCCCTTTTCTCGGGATATCGCAAGGACCCCACTCCCACTAGCAATGGGGAAGACGAGGCATATTTTTCTCCGCTAACAGTAGAAGTGAGCTCACAGGACTGTGTAGGCTCAGGAAACAAGTTACTGAAGAAAAAGAAGGGCCCATGTTGCTTAGAAGAGAGAAAGACAGACGTAATGCACCTGGGGGAAGAAAAAGGAGGTGGGAAAGGCACAGGCATGCTCCACAGAGGCAGAAGAAATGCAGTGCCTTGAAAATTAAGCCGGACTTCTGGCCAAGCTGGTGGAGTAGGTAAGCGCTGTGTTCACTCTTCCCATTGACCATGTAAATTACAACTGAAGACTAGCTGAATAGAACTCCTATAATTAAGAATACAAAGAAGCCATCCATGGCTGGTTTGGCTCAGCGGTTAGAGTGTGGCCCACGGACCAATGAGTTGCGGGTTTGATTCCAGTCAAGTGTACGTACCTCGGTTGCGATTCATCCCAGGCCCTAGTTGGGGTTGTGTGGGAGGCAGCCACTCACTGTGTCCCTTTCACGTTAATGTTTCTCTCTCTCTCTTCTTCTTCTTCTCTCTCCCTCCCACTCTGTCTGAATAAAAATGGAAAAATGTCCTCGGGTGAGGATAAAAAAAAGATGAAGAAGAATACAAAGAAGAAGAAGCCACTTGGAGACTGGTAGGAGGGGTAAAGACATGCTCTCACACCCATGTGTGGCAGTTAAAAATTGAGAGGGATTTCCTGCTATGGAGGTTCCCACTGAGGAGTGAGGGGTCCCAACCCCACACCAGGCTCTCCAGCCCAGACTACCTGTACCAGAAAGAGGAATCCCCACAACCGCTGGCTGTGAAAATTAGCAGAGATTCAGTCCTGGTGAAATGCAGGGCAGATGTAGACCCAGGAGTGCTCTCAAAGGGCCCAAGCACAAACTCACTTGCTCACAAATACTCACCCAAAGCTCCAGAGAAATAACAGCTTACCAAAAAGCACTAGGGACATATGGGGAGAAACTGGCTCAAGGGCAATGGCTGGAGAAGCAGCTCTCTCCCCAACTAAAGTGCACCATTGTTCCATTGTTGAGCCCTCCTCCATATAGTCTGCAAGCTCAGGTGGGAGCCAAATGTGAGTCTCCATCAACCTGATTAACACCATTCGCCCAGCCCCTAGTGATTACCTCAAAACCCCACCCAATTCATGTGCCTGCCAAACCTTATTCAGAGGCTAATCCACACAAGCCACTAACCTGGACCCAACTGAGGACTTTCCTAAAAATCTCTCAAAGGTCCACCAACCCCAAACAAACTGGCTGGCTTCGCTGTGCTCTGTACCTCTTGCTAAATGGGCCCATGCCTGGCTCTAGTGGTAGCCAGCCTTGGTTCACAGCATAACCTCTTTCAGGCACCTCCAAGCCCAGCACAGGCAGCTACCAACCACAGATCACTTTGTAGCTCCTACCAGGTGGCCCTGAGCTGGACACAGGCAGCATCTGACCTTGACCTGCACAGGAGCCCTCCTAAGAGGCCCAGAACCAACATACCTGGTGGCCAGTTTCAGACTACACCACCCAAATAGTGCCACAAAGGACACACCCAAGGGGTGGACATGGCAGGCACCCCTAAATCGAATCATGCTTCAGGGGACCAGCTCCCATACAACAGCTTGCCCACTATAGTCATGACCAATCCTCACAGCCCGTCAGCCTGAGGTTCAATCCCTCTCACTGATATGCCAACAGCAATCAAGGCTCAACTACAATAGGAAGTCACACACAACCCAGACAAAGGACACCCCTGGAGCACCCAGCTCAGATAAACAGGGATACTGTGGCACTTGGCCCCACAGTACACCTACTATATATGTCCACTCTTCCAAGACTGGGGAACATAGCAGATCTTCCTAATACATAGAAACAAACACAAAGAGGCAGCCAAAATGAGGAGACAAAGAAACATGTCTCAACTGAAAGAACAGAATAAAACTTGAGAAAAAAACTAAACAAAATGGAAGCAAGCCATCTACCAGATGCAGAGTTTAAAACACTGGTTATAAGGATATTCAATG